TAACAGACGAAGTCATGCCTGAATTGTACACAATCTCTGTGTTAAATGGTCCCATGGATCGTGGATGAGCTTTAAACAGCGACCACATGTGATATAAAATCAGTGAAATATTTTTGGGTCTGCCCAAATGAGATACACCTGTATGAGGACATTATATCTATATTAAAAGACAAGAACACCAATAAAATGGGTGGGTTAGATGAGGCTGTCGTGGAAGACAGTGCTCCAGAGGGTGCTAGTGTTCTTGGAGGACGGTGCACCAAAAGGAGATAGTGGCCCTAGTGATGAAACAGGTAAAGACAACGTTATTCAGTTTACAGAGGTACAAAGTAGCAATACCGCAGGAGATGGAACAAAAGGGGATGATGCCTCAGGGAATGGTGTTGACACATTACCACAAAAAAAACTGGTGGAAGCACGGATGTCCATACAGGGGCGGTAAGTAGAAAGGAAACAGAAAAAATGTACCAGCAGCGAACGCAGCCATACAAAATCCTCGCAAACAGATTTCCAGTCTATGCAGATTCTATGTCTTGGGTATCTGCAGGCATGGTATATCTGGTAAAACATGTGGGACATGCGCCTTTGACCATCCCAAAAAATGCCATGCCGCACCCACATCAAAATCAAAATCAAAATCAAAATCAAATCAAAATATTTATTTCTTTGTAAAGCTTACAATGTGTGGTTAACGTGTTGTAAAATATTAATTACAAAGGCAGCCACTAGCATGCCTAGGCATTTCGGGCAGACTAATACTAATTCTTACTCTATATTGATATAGGTTATGGAGCAGTACAATTGAACATACATTATTAGATACATACATAATTAGATACATACCTAGCTAGGTACATACATAATTAGATTTATAATAGTGAGGTAATACATATCACAATATAATATTACGAATGGTAAGTTCAGTAATGGGATTGGATTTGTCTTGGCATGATACACTGTTTCTATTAAAGCTCATATAATCGAAGAGTTTCTTAGGCAAACTTAGGACTAACTTAAGATTTAATAGGCAATAGCTATAGAAGGAATTTTATGTCATTTGGGTGAGTATAAGTGTAAATTCGGGGGGCTTGGAGATAATAAAAGTAAGATTATATTGTTTTGGATGTGTTCATTTTACAAAAAAGAAAATTAGGTGGTTTTCATTTGGTTCGCTAATGATGGAGTGTGTTAGGGAGTTAAGACGTTTTTTAATGGTAGTTTTGATAATGGTGGCTGAGCCTGCGGTTCTAGAGTTTTCAGGCAATGAGTTCCAGATTTTAGACCCTTTTATGTACATTGAATTTTTGTAGAGGTTTAGCCGGACACGGGGAATGTCATAGAGATTTTTGTGTCTGGTATTATGTCTGTGGGTCCTGTTGCAACTATCAAGAAAGTGTTTTAGTTCAGGATTAATATTAGAATTTATGGTTCTATAGATGTAGGCTGCACAGTAGTAGGTGTAGATGTTCTGTACAGTAAGTTCAGGTCTTTGAAGTGGGGGGGACGGTGTTGCCTAGTATAGGATTGTGAGAAAATTCTTACTGCGGCATTTTGTTGGGTTATTATTGACTTCAGGTGTGTTGTTGCTGTTGATTCCCAGGCACAAATAGCATGGGTGAGGTGGGGATAGATGAGTGAATGGTATAGTGTGAGTAGGGCTGATTGTGGTACATAGTAACGTATCTTAGAGAGGATCCCAACTCTTTTGGATACTTTTTTTTGTTAGATGTTGGATATGGGTGCTGATTTTCAGGTTGCTGTCAAGGTGTAGACCCAGGAATTTGCCCTCATTATGTTTAGCAATAAGAGTGTTGTAGATCTTAATGTTCAGTTGTGCATCACCTGTTTTGTTACCAAACATAATATAGAAGGTTTTGCCAGTGTTAAGTGAAAGTTTATCGGCAGTCATCCAGGTTGATATTTTTAGTAGCTCTTCGTTAACAATGGTATTTAGTGTGGCAAGATTTGAGAGGGAAATGACGTAAGTCGTGTCGTTAGGAAAGAGAATTGGTTTCAGGTGTTGTGATACGTTGGGAAGATCATTCATGTATAAGAAGAAGAGCAGGGGACCAAGCACACTTCCCTTAGGCACTCTAGTATCAAGTGGTCGTGTAGATGAGGTTGTCCTTAATGGTGATATTGATACCTGTTAGTAAGGTAGGATTTGAAATATGTAAGTGCATGGCCTCTTATACCATAATGGTCAAGTTTGTGGAGTAGGATGCCGTGGTCTACTGTATCAAAAGCTTTCCTTGGGTGAATAAAGAGTCCTAATAGATATTCATTATTTTCCAGTGTTGTATAAAGCAGGTCTAGCATTTTTACTATTCCATCGTTTGTGTTGTTTTTTCTGAAGCCAAACTGGCAGGGGTTGAGTATGTTTTGTGCTGTTATAAATGAATATAATCTCTTGTGCACGAGTTTCTCGAAGATTTTGGATAGCAATGGTAAGCTTGATATTGGCCTATAGTTGTTTACATCTGTGGGGTCACCACCTTTATATTGGTGTAACCCTTGCTGTTTTGAGTAGCGTCGGGAAAGTGCTAGTTTCTAGTGACTTGTTAAAAAGTAATGAAATAACATGCGAAAGGACATGAGCTGCTCGCTTGTACAATAATGTTAGGACTTGAGACAGATTCCCTGGTTTATTTTTAAATGACTTGATAATCTCAGTGACTTCAGTGGGCTCAGTAGGTGCAAGATAGAAGGAGGTTGAGAAATTCCCATCTAAGTAATCACTTGCTCGGGCGTTGGTACCTTGGATTTTACTGGCGAGATTTGATCCTATGGTTAATTGTATCAATAGGCTGCAGTTGTGTTTCATTCGGTTTAGTTAATACAATATCTCTAGTTTTTTTTTTTTTTTTAGTTTGTGGGTGCCCAGAATCTGAGAGTGTTTTCCAGGTCTTGTTTATATATCCTCTTGTTTCGGTGAATCTGCTGGAATAGTATAATTGCTTGGCCTTTCTTATTAGTTTGGAGAGAATTGATACATAGTGCTTAATAATTTCTTTGTGTATTAAGCCCTGTCTATATTGCTTTTCATATCGATGTTTCTTATTAATGGTATGTTTCTTATCAATAGTATGCTGTTAGTTAGTCATGACAACAGGAGGGTGCAATTCCCCTTCCTGTAACTTATTTCACCCCGAAATGTGTCACTCCTCACTCCATGAAGGAAAATGCTACAAAGTATACTGCAAGGCACATCAATTAAAGGGGACAACAAGACACGTACCAGCCAGACTTTGGGAAACAAAAGAGGAAAGCCAATACTTCTCCAGAGAAAGCTTTTTGCCAAGAAGGAAAAAAGACTGGCAAGAAATGACAGAAATCTTACACCAACTGAAAACACTTCTGGAGCAGAGGCACAGTCATTGGCCTCCACTCCAGAACAACAGATATTAGAGCCAGAAAATAAAACCCCCCTGAATTCCATCAATACAACGACATTTGTCTTTGCAAACATACAGGGTCTAAAGCCATCAACAAACAACAAAATTCCTTACATCAAGGGACTGCTCACGGAGTCAAATGCAATGTTTGCAGCTTTCCCAGAGACCCACATAAAGGATCATTTTGACAATGAAATATGGATCCCAGGTTATAACTTATTCAGATGTGACAGACTAAACAGACAACAAGGAGGGAGGGGGTTTGGCTTGTACGTCACAGAGTCGCTCATTTGCTCCATTTGCTCAGAACTACTAAACACCTCAAATGATGTAGCTGAAGTTTTGGCGGTAAAGACTGGAAACCAAAACATTGTCATTGTGGTTACATACAAACCTCTGGATGCAACTTTCCAGCAATTCCAGGAACAGCTTTTGAAAATTGACCACTGCCTGGAAAATCTCCCAACTCCTGCCCCAAACATCTTGCTACAGGGAAATTTTAACTTGAGACACCTAAAATGTCTACGTTAGAAAGAGGCGCTGGTCACTGAAATTACAAATATCGAACTTAAGCTGAGGGAATCTTACAGGAGACATGAATCGCAAGAAGAACTAAAAGCCATAAAGGAAACTGAAAAAAAATACTTCTTCTCTTATGCCAAATCTAAGGGAAAAACAACATCCAGTACTGGGCCCCTGCTTAGGCAGGATGGGACATACACAGATGATAGCCAAGTAATGAGTGAGATGCTCAAGTCCAAATCTGACTCAGTGCTCAGCGAGCCACTGCCCAGACTAAGGGTCGACAATCCAAATGAATTCTTTATGAACGAGGCCCAAAATTTGGTCATCTCAAATATCTCGGACATTATCCTAACACCACAAGACTTTGATAAGGCAATAAATGACATGCCCATGCACTCTGCCCCAGGCCCAGACTCGTGGAACGCCGTGTTCATCAAGAACTGCAAGAAGCCCCTGTCATATACCTTCAGCATTGTATGGAGAGGGAGCATGGACACAGGGGTCATCCCACAGTCGCTAAAAACAACAGACATAGCCCCACTCCACAAAGGTGGCAGTAAAGCAATTACAAAGAACTACAGACCGATAGCACTATCATCCCATATCATAAAAATCTTAGAAAGGGTTCTAAGAAACAAGATCGCCAACATATTGTCGGTAATTCTACCAACATTATTACAATATTGCTACTACTGACTGCTGCTCTTGCTGCTGCTGCCGGTGAGAGCTCTTGATCCAAAGAATTGGACATGATTTCTCCTTCTCTGTATCAAACCTGAATGATTTCCATTCCCCAGGCGCTGTATTACCCCCATGGGTTTAGCTTTCCCCATGATTGTAATAATAATGGTATGTTATTGTTACTACTGCTGTTAATTCTTCTGCTACTGTTGCTCCTGTTATTGTCATTCTTTATATTGTGGGTTTTGCTACTGATAGTGCTGATGTTCCTGTTGCTGTGTGTATTATGTGGGTGTGTGTGTGCGTGAGTGTATTCTTGACCTTTAATGTGATCAGGTCGGACTAGGGCGAACCCGTATAAATGTCGAGGTCGGAGGAGGTGGGGTCGTCTTGGTGGGGGTAGTGTGGAGTAAGGAGAGAGTCGGCTGGGGATGGAGGTAACGGTGTGAAGGCTCACATGAGCAGACGTTAAAGTGACGGTTGGTTATAATAGTGTGGTAATGCATAGCGACAGTGATCCGCTGGAGTCATCTGTAAACGCACTGCAGACGCACAAACGCATTTCACGCAGTCCTTGACTGCAGCCCGCTCATCAACCTGGATGGAAATTGATGAGGAAGTATGGAGGAACAGTAGCCAACATAGTAATAAGATAATAGGAGAAGAAGGGGAGTGCGAGTGTGAGAGACCATATTAACATCGCTATCGCAGAGAAATACCTGAAGCAGCCTCTCTCAACTTTACTCAGCAGCGGCTGAGCATCACTGCCACGGAAATAGCCAGATCCTACAGGAAACATAGTATCCTAAGGCTGTTCAAGATGGGTGTGACAGAAGGACAGAGCGGTGATTACGGCAACAGACTGGAAGTGAGAGCCTCCTCGCCTGCCCGACCTGAGTCACCCAACATTGTGGTTAAGATTCAAGAGGATCTCGCTGATCTAGAAAAAGAAGACGTGGAACAGATCCTCACCGACGAGGAGAAGCGTTTCCTGCTCTACGTGGAGCGGGGAGACGTCCCCTCCGTCAAGCAGTGAGTTACAACACATTATGTTCATTGGGGAAGCGCTGAACCCGGAAGGTCGTAGAGTGCTGGGGAAATGGGAGGCAACCAGGTTTGATCTGAAGAAGGGAAGGTTGACTGTAATTCCATAGGTCAAGAGTTTTTAACTATAACCAAGACACTTTCCTTCAAGCCGCATGACCACACAAACTAACCGAGACAGCAAGTACTAAGCACTCACATAACCTTTCCTAACATATGAAGAAATAAGAAAGGCAAACAGCATGGTTTAACATAGCAAACAATAAGTAAGCAACACAAACTAACCAACACAACAAACAACACAGTATTCAACACAACCTGGCCAATATAGCAAGCAGGAAAAATTAGCATAACATGCAACATATGACCAAGACAACAAACATCTTACCCACAGCTTCAAGCATAGGTATAATATTTTCCAAAACTTCCAAACTTCTCATATTCCCCAGTATCCTCTACGAACCCTTCCCTAAAAGTTGCTGTGGCGTGGCAGCTACTGTGCTGCACTGAAGTCACCTGACCTAGTGTTTGCCACAGCCATGTTGGTAAGAGAGTCATGTGTAAAACCCCACAACATCTGTGATCACAGTGGGGCTCGTGGTAACATTTCTAGTGTAATGAAATATTCCTAGTTGGAATGTTCTTATATTTAATACCTGCATTGTACATGCTGCCTTAATAAGAACTGGATCGCCATGGGTCGGAATCCCACTCGTTCAGTGAGGCACTCGACTGTTTTCTTAATTTATTCAGCTTAACGACCATCGACCTTTTTAGAGGTCATTAGACCAGGTGGTCAGCAGGCTGGGAATATTACATAAAAATATTATTCATCTTCATTTCGTATTTTTTTTCTATATTGTTAAGAAAGAACATACAGTTTAACAAGTGTGAAGTTAATTACAAGTATATAACTGAATGTGTGAAAGTAGTTTGCTAGGTTTAAAGCCTATCTACTGTTCAAGGGTCATTAAGGCTGCAGTTCACCTGTACACCACCAATCAACAACACTTTAATACATAAATTAGGGACTAAAGTAACCCGTCAGTATATGCGTTTATATTTACCTGGAGAGAGTTCCGGGGGTCAACGCCCCCGCGGCCCGGTCTGTGACCAGGCCTCATGGTGGATCAGAGCTTGATCAACCAGGCTGTTCCTGCTGGCTGCACGCAAACCAACGTGCGAGCCACAGCCCGGCTGGTCAGGAACCGACTTTAGGTGCTTGTCCAGTGCCAGCTTGAAGACTGCCAGGGGTCTGTTGGTAATCCCCCTTATGTGTGCTGGGAGGCAGTTGAACAGTCTCGGGCCCCTGACACTTATTGTATGGTCTCTTAACGTGCTAGTGACACCCCTGCTTTTCATTGAGGAGATGTTGCATCGTCTGCCAAGTCTTTTGCTTTCGTAGTGAGTGATTTTCGTGTGCAAGTTCGGTACTAGTCCCTCTAGGATTTTCCAGGTGTATATAATCATGTATCTCTCCCGCCTGCGTTCCAGGGAATACAGTTTTAGGAACCTCAAGCACTCCCAGTAATGATAAGTGTACATCACTCAGTTTATATACCTTGTGCGTTCAGAAATTTTGTAATGAATAAAAAGATACTTTCTTTTACACGGGGTTGTATAGGTTAGGTTAAGGTTTCTAACTTTATTTACAATCTAACAGCTGTTTAAAAACCACAGTAGACCACGACATCCTACTCCACAAACTTGATCACTACGGTATAAGAGGCCATGCGCTTGCTTATTTCAAATCTTACATTACTAATAGGTATCAGTACGTCACCATTAAAGACACAGCATCAGCAACACGGCCACTTGATACTGGAGTTCCGCAGGGAAGTGTCCTTGGTCCCCTGCTCTTCCTCATATACATCAATGACCTTCCAAACGTATCCCAACACCTGAAACCCATTCTCTTTGCTGATGACACGACTTATGTCATCTCTCACCCTAATCTTGCCACCCTCAACACCATTGTGAATGAGGAGCTGATTAAAATATCGACTTGGATGACAGCCAATAAACTTACGCTTAACACTGACAAAACCTACTATATTATGTTTGGTAGCAGAGCAGGAGATGCACAAATTAACATTAAGATTGACAACACCCTAATTACCAGAAATAATGGGGGAAAATTCCTAGGCTTATACCTTGACAACAACCTGAATTTCAGCACCCATATCCAGCATATAGCCAAAAAAGTATCCAAAATGGTTGGGATCCTCTCCAAGATACGATACTACGTGCCGCAAAATGCCCTTCTCACACTATACCACTCACTTATTTATCCATACCTCACCTATGCTATTTGTGCTTGGGGATCAACTGCAGCAACACACCTAAAGCCAATAATAACCCAACAAAAAGCTGCAGTAAGAATAATCACTAAATCCCATCCCTGGCAACACCCCCCCCCCCACTCTTCATAGATCTAAACTTACTCCCAGTTCAGTACATCCACACTTACTACTGTGCAATCTACATCTACAGGGCCTTAAACTCTAATATCAACCTTGACCTAAAACGCTTTCTTGATAGTTGTGACAGAACCCACAGGCATAACACCAGACACAAACATCTCTACGACATTCTCCGTGTCCGACTAAACCTTTACAAAAATTCAATGTATGTCAAAGGCCCTAAAATCTGGAATACCCTACCTGAGAACTCTAGAACTGCAGACACATTCATCACCTTCAAAACTACCATTAGAAAACATCTTATCTCCCTGATACACCCCGTCAACTAACTACACGAATACCACCTGGTGGTTCACACTTACACTCATTCACTCATTTGACCATAAACAGAAATATTAATCTCAGTCTTAAAATAATGAATCCTGTGATACTCCAATACTGAAACTATGTACTGTGCCAAAACAAAAGCATTCACATTGCTAAACTCACAAACTAGTATTTAGTCACTTAGCCATAATACCAACTTACCTCATAATTTGTAATATTTTACAATTAAGAATAAAACTAAGTATGCCCGAAATGCCTAGCCATGCTAAGCGTTCTAGTGGTACACTCTGTAATCACAATTTTACTACATGTAAACCAAACAATAACCAAATTTCTGTAAACTCAGCATTGTAATCCTTATAGAGAATAAACTTTGAAATTTGAAATTTGAAATTGAAATGCTATAAAACCTATCCAAACTTCACCACAAGTAAGACACACCAATATTGAAAGTTGAAGTAGATAAGTTATCCCACGGAAATCGTTATTCCAAATTTCTCAATAAAATTAGCTAGTTGGCATCTACATAGCCGAGTAACAATACAAAATTTTCATATTGACAGCTCTCTTCGTTACCCCAGTCAACAGACGGTAAGTGTTCTCTAAGCCCATCGTAATCTGCTAAGCGAAAATCTGGGACTGTTACTGAGTTATCCCTACTATCGTACTTCCATTCAATGCTAAATGTAATTGATTTGTGGTCGCTAGCACCCAGTTCCTCTGAAATTTCTAAATTATTAACAAGGGATTCACTGTTTGCCAGAACTAAGTCAAACAGGTTATTTCCCCTTGTAGGTTCTGTCACAAACTGCTTCAAAAAACAATCCTGAACTACTTCTAAGAAGTCGTATGATTCTAAATTCCCAGTCAAGAAATTCTAATCAATATGACTAAAGTTAAAGTCTCCTAGAATTACTACATTATCGTGCCTTGTGGCCTTAACAATTTCCTCCCATAGTAGTCTCCCCTGGTCCCTATCTAAGTTTGGGGGATGGTATATCACACCTAAAATCAATTTTTCATGCCCCTCTGAAAATTCTATCCAAACAGACTCTGTATGTGTTACTTCACACTTAATACCCGTTTTAATGCAACAGTTCAAGCGATCACGGACATACAATGCCACCCCACCCCCCTTCCCAATACTTCTATCTACTTGGAACAATTTAAAACCCTTTTAAAACTCTATTCTTGGTCAGAAAAGTGGCAGATGCAGTTCAATGTAGATAAATGCAAGGTTCTGAAGCTCGGGAGCGTCCATAACCCTAGCGCTTATAAGTTAAATAATGTAGAACTTAGCCATACAGATTGCGAAAAGGACTTGGGGGTTATGGTGAGCAGCAACCTTAAACCAAGACAGCAATGCCTAAGCGTACGTAATAAGGCAAATAGATAATTGGGATTTATATCAAGAAGTGTAAGCAACAGAAGTCCAGAGGTCATACTGCAGCTTTATACATCATTAGTAAGGCCTCACCTGGATTATGCAGCTCAATTCTGGTCTTCATATTACAGAATGGATATAAATTCGTTAGAAAACATTCAGCGTAGGATGACTAAATTAATACATAGCATTAGAAATCTTCCCTATGAAGAAAGATTGAAGACTCTAAAATTACATTCACTTGTTAGAAGAAGAATGAGTGTAATAAAGTTGGTAGAATTACCGACAATATGTAAAGTAAAAGGACAAGTGCAACTAATGTGACATTTTATTGTGGCAACGTTTCGCTCTCCAGGAGCTTTATCAATCAAGCCATTACAAACAGTACATGGACACAGAGGGTATATATAGGCTCAGAGTGAGGTGCAATACTAGTGGTAGTAGTAGTAGTAGCAGTAGTAGAAGCAATACAATATGTAGAACAATTAACTTACACAAGAGTAATATCCTTTATATCGTTTACTCTTGTGCAAGTTAATTGTTCTACTTATTGTATTATTTCTACTACTACTACTACTACTACTACTACCACTAGTATTGCACCTCACTCTGAGCCTATATATACCCTCTGTGTCCATGTACTGTTTATAACGGCTTGATAAAGCTCCTGGTAGCCTTTCCTCCCACTGATACGAGGTTCTCTGGATTTATTGGCAATCTATCTCCCTCTTTATATACCCTGTAAAAGTGTTTTTCCAGGGTGGCCGAGTGTTCGTCACTCCCTACCTGGTTCAGCTTCCCTGGCGGTTCATCGTGTATACTGGTACTTATTATCACTACTCCCCCAGCTATCA